TTCAGTATCGTTATTCTTATCCTGTCATTTTATGATTTCAGGTTTAGTCATAATTTTAGTAGTTTTCGGTTATATTTTTACAATCATAAATACACAATTATGATACTTATAATCACAAGAAAGTATTTTTAAGCTTCTCGTTACTTTATTTTTTAAATAACGCCGATTTTTACGATAATTTGATATTTTTAACGAAAGCAATTAATACTAGGATCAAAAAGTGCCCGACGATTTTATAATAGGTACAACAGGTATAATTGTAGATGTACCTTCCTCCCTCTTATGAGAAAATACACCTTTCCCATGCGTTGCTTAGCAACGATGCAACGGGAACAGGAACGAACGGTCGGGAGTTCGGCCTGGTGGCCTGGTTAGCCGACGTACCTATATGATCTGCAATATTTCCCGTTCACTAGAAAATTCGAAACCTGCTTCATATGATTCCAATACAAAAAAATAAAAAAAAACTAAGCAATTGCAGCAAAAAATTTCGAACTCTTCCCTCAATTCGATAGTCATTGAGATGGACGATGGACAACTAATCTCACTCAGGAATTATTACTTAATTATTTGACATGGAACCTTAATAGAGAATAAAATGTTTCCTTGTTTTTCACGGCAAGTTCAGCGGAAAATACGTACGCCAAATGGGAGCATCAAGTAGCGAACTCGTAAAAATTTTGTTTCGAATCGAAAATAGACTTCAATTATAAGTTTCGCAGCAGCAAATGTCGAAGGAAAATTTGCTTTCCGGTCAACGGTGCTCATAAAATCGACGGACACGTTAACTAAGTCCGCAAACTAATAAACCTTATCCTGTTTATACAGATATATGCACGAAATTAACTTTTAAAACTCGCACTACTTACAAAACAACAAGTGTAGTACACACGTAGGAAGTTTAAAAACTGGCGCCCATTTTCCTGAAGATTTATTACGCCAACAAAACGAATCTTTTTTCGATTTATATTTATCAGAGTTTTAAACTGCATTATTTTAGGATACTCAGAAGTTTTAATCTGCTTACTCATGCTTGTAGAACCTGGATTTGATCATAATCTTATAATTAAATTACAATAAAAAGTTATAGTCAAGATTTCAATGGCTGCCGGAGTACCTCAGGGTCGACTGTGTGGCCCCTTACTATTCTTTTCTCTAACTATAAACGATGTAATGGTGGCTTCTAGATCCTCTATCTATTACCGTATGAAACAATTCCTTTGGCGCTGGGATTTGTCCATTCTCTTATGCCTGATTTTGAGCCAGGATATTTGTAAAATTTGATATTTATAAATTGTCATTTGATTGTCCCAGGTTAGCCCAGGTTTTGTTTTTGTTAGCCCAGTACTGGTTCAAAAGTTATAACAGTTAAAAAAAAAACACCTAAACCAATATGTGAAAATCATTTCATTGCCGAAGGATAGCCAAGGATGGCCGAAGTTTTTATTTCGTTAGCCCACCCTTAGTTCAAAAGTTGTAAAAAAAATGTTTTTTGTCATAAAAAAACAATCAAGAATAATGTAACAATCTCTGTTTTAATTGTGTCATTTGATTTCCCAATATTAGACCAACTTTTANTACTTTACTTCCTAAATGCCTACCTATTACCATAGAAATTTTCGCAATGGTAGGGATGGGTTTGAAGTTAGAAAGTTACCAACGGAGCACATGTTATACGTACTCAATTTTAATTTCCATAAATATTACGGCAATAAGTTTTGCAAAAATAAGATCAAAACTAAGTCGTATTGTCGAAAAACAAAACTAAGACCATATCAATCTTGTCTTGGTCTTCAATTTGCTCATCACTACACTCAGAGAAAACTGTAGAACAAACTTCTACAATTGTAGAACTTTTCATTACAAGTTGTAGCGAACATAGGGACAGAAACAAGTTGTAGTGAAAATTAATATAATATTGTAATTACTTTTTTTTTCTACAAACTGTTTGTCACTCTACTACAACTTTAAAGAATATGTACTGCAAATTCTTCTTAAAAATTACTTTTCATTGTAGCATATCTCTATACAATAATTAAAAAAATATATACAAAATTGTAGCACATTTGTTTACAACTGAAACGCAAATAAATATTCAATAAAAATTGCTACATTTTATCTTTATATTTTCTACAAAAATTATTTAATCTTACTACATTTTGTAATGAAATTCACGAAATTGTTGTTGTAAACATTTTATTCAAATTGTAAGGAATTTGTCTGAGCCTCTGTCGATATTTCTCCTACAATTTACCACTACAATTTTATAGTCAAATTTAAGTTTACCGTTAGTTAACCTTACTACAAATTTGAGTTTAATTTTCTACAAAACCTCTACAACGTTATAGTAATTTTTCTTACATTTTTCTGAGTGTAGTACTAACTCTTTATTTCTAATTTGTTTATTATTCGATATCATTATGACCAAATCAAGCGCTTGTCTGAAATTTTTTTTTGTATTAGGCACACCCCCGCAAAAAAATAGTAGCAGATTAAACGTAAATCCGAAGAAACAAGCGGAAAAAATCTTTTAATCAGCCTGATGAAAAATAAAAACCGTGACGCTTTAACAGCGTCGGTGACGGCGGCGACGGCGTCGAATGCGTGGGCGGAAGACATGCATCTATGTATGAAAAGGTGCGAAGGGAGTAAGGGGGGCGCCCTTGGCTGTAGCAGCGCTGGCGGCACGCAGGCAGTAAAATGTGTTGGCCTGAGAAGGGTGGAAAACAACGATCGGACGTGTGGGGGCGGCGGTTGCGAAGAGGCATTTCGCCGGACTCCCACGCACCTAAGAACTGTGGCATGTGGGCGAAAAAGCAAGAACTTATTATAATGGTAAGCATTTCGTTCAAGGGTGCGCCCGCCGCGCCGCGCCGCCTCTATTTATTAAGCTATTGAGTTATTATCTTTCCTTCTTTTTTTGTACATACAATCACCCACACCTTACATACCTACTACTGACCTACACTAAGTGACAAATCAACCGGACCTACAGTCATCAATAACATTATTTGTTATGTATTTCGAATATTCATGGTCACATAGAAATGCGGCAATATGAATTTAAATAGCAAACAAAATGTACAGAAAGATCTGACAATGCTTAAATACTAACTACCGATTAACTACCCATTAATTTTACTCAAAATATTCCTGCTTTTTTAGTTGTATGAACAGGACCACTATGAACTTTTTGGGTGTATTTGAGTTTTCTGCTTAAATTTCCATATATGAAGATTGGAAAAACGTTGGCGGTTGTTGTAGAACAAACAAAATAGCTCAAAACCCCAACGCCAACCCCAACTGTTCACTCGGTTTTACTTCAGTCCCTGAAGATGGTAACCTTGCTTCGGACAACTACAGTTTCGTATTTTGGCGTTAGGTTTTGAGCTATTTTGTTTATTCTATAAATTTCCATGAACATGAAAAATTTCACAAAAATGCATGTAGGTACTCTGTCGTAGCGAGTGTGGCCGATCTTCCCGCACTCTTTTTTAATGAACGATAGATATATGACACTCATGTAGCCACAAATATTACCCAATGTAATTTTTACTAAACAATTCTTGATGTCTGTATTTCTGTACCACTGTGAGGAGACGTTTCTCGAACTAAGGGCAACAACCTTCTACAGAAAAAGAAAACTTCCTTATATCGTAGGTACATGACACACACATAACAATTCGCCGGTTAGTCATTTATAAATCATCAAATATAATGTGTACCTACGTGGCCTGAGTCATCAATGCAACAACGCGAGAAGAAATTCTTACCACGAAGAACTATTTTGTTTGTCCCGACAACGTAATTTTTTTTTCAATGAACGGCTGTGATGAGTAATTATTATCAATTTTAATGGAAACTACATACATTCCCGAGCACTGAGCAATGAGCATAACACAGTAATTACTGATGATAACCATTGATTCAACGATATCGCGGAAATCTTAACAATGTGTCTATAAATGCTAAATAGGGCATACCTACCGTTAAAGGGTATCCACATCAGAGCCATATCGAGCCTTAAAACTTATGACAGAGTATCCACATCAGGGCCAGATCAGAATAAATTGGGAAAGGCGTTAAAGTTTTGAAATATAGTATCCACATCAGTATTAATGAGACAAGCGTAAAAAGTATCCATATCAGGGCCAGATTAGGATATACGAATAGAAGATACAGCTTAAGGGTTAAAGTAGAGTATCTACATGAGAATTAGATTGAAGCGTAAAAGTGTTCTGATAGGGTATCCACATCAGAGCAACATCGAGTCGTAAAAGTTCTGACAGGGTATCCACATTAGGGCCACATCAGAATGAAGTGGGAAAGGCGTTAAAGCTTTGAAATATGGTATCAACATCAGAACCACATCAGTATTAATAAGTCAAACGTAAAAGGTTTCAGAGAGAGTATCCACATCAGGGCCAGATCAGCTTAAATAGGACATAGCCCTAAAGTGTTAAAATAGTGTATCGCGTCGTAAAAGTTCTGACAGGATATCCACATCAGGGTCAGATCAGTCTAAATAGAGCAAGGCGACAAAGCATTGAAATCAGTATTAACAAGTCAAACGTAAAGGGCTTCAGATAGAGTATCCATATCAGGGCCAGATTAGGCTACATAGGGCATATCGTCAAAGGTCTGAAATAGGGTATCCACATTAGGGCCACATCAGTCTTAATAGGTGAAGCCATAGGTATATTTTTAACTAATAATAAAATTGAAATATACAGTGACTAGTAGTTTCAAATTACGGATCATGGATTTAAAAACAACGCGACTGTGACTAACAAACCGACAGACATACGAGTTATCTTCAACGGATGGGAGCCTTTTTCCCTTTAAAAAAATTCCAGGTCCAGATAAATTTTCATTTCAAGTTATTCAAATTGTTTAAACAAATTTTGCATTTCGTTCGTGGTCATATAGAACAATAACAATAACGCCAACAACTGAATAGTTTAAGTTAAATGTTGGTTGGAAGTCTTTTATTAGCGCACATCCGCTTCGTTGTGCGTACACAAAGCGCGTTCGTTTGTTTCGCCTTCGTCTTTCGTATCTTTACCTACAAACGGAGAGAGGATATCCTTTTCAAAGCCAACAATTACCATTCTAATGTTTACATAATACATAATAATGATGATGACGGCTCTATTGTGATTTCTCGACTTTTAAATAACCACATGTATCCACCAATGTACGTATATACTAATAGAGAATTGAGAAATATGGAATATTCTGTTACATGCAATCATCATTTTTTCATATAATTGTAGAATCCGCTTGTAATGACATCGAAGGGAAATTTCAAATACATTATACTAAGGGGGCGTCATACAAATCATAGTCTTAGAAAATAAACAACTTTCTGTTTTGGTTAGTTATTTAGTTTAATAGAGAGAAAAACTACAAATTGTACATATTTATTAACAGAAAAAGAAAAAGAACGATGAACTGTNAGCTGAAACTTAATTTGTGCTGTTTAATTGACATGCGTTCTCATAATTGAAAAAGGATTTCGAAACAGCATGCATGCGGTGCTTTTGGCAGCCATTTTTAATATCGTAATTTTTTGAAAATATCATTTCAGTAGGAACTAACGTTAGCAAATGTGATTGTTTGTTAAGTTTTATCATTTTTACATGACTGTAGAAATTATTTACACTTATCATTAATACAAATTAAATTGTACATCATCATTATCATCAGGAAGTAGTTACATAAGCACATCCTGTTTATGAATATGACGATTCTATTCCAATGTGCAAGGATCGAAAATCAAACAAATAAACTACTGCCAAACAAAAAAAAAAATGATACTAATAATATAATAATAATAATTATTATATGAGAGTAACGTATGTCACCTATATAACAATCCTTTATATATTATGAATGAATGAACAATCTTATGTTATGCTGTGACGAACGAAGGTTTAAATCAAAAATAGTCAATGAATAGAGTAAAAGTAGTTTAAACCAATCGCTCATCGGTAGAAAAGTAACTGTCGCTTCGAAAACCCATCTGGTCAACTATACCTGTGGATCAACAACATGCAGTAAACAACTGCGAGTTTGGATGAAACGTTCAGCACCTGGCCACGAAAATGGCCCATTAGGTCGTAACAAACGACTCGGCAAACGGAAATTTAACAAAGAAACGCAAACAAACAAAAAACAAGCGAAATTAAAAAAAAGAAAACAATTGTTACAGCACTACTAACCTTCCAGACAAACAACATGGCAACCATCTTGTGTTAGCCTCCGGAGCAAAACGCTCAGAGTCGAGTCGTTCGGGTGCTGTTGGTGTTGAACCCCTAACACGTCGTTGTACAGTACATAAATGTTCTGTTTGTACGTGTTGCATATTCTGTTCTTCAATTCGCGACATTTTATGGTGGACGCCAGGTCTATCTTGCCTATTGCCAGTCTCCTCAACATGATCGACGGTATCGAAAAATTCACGGCTTCCCTGATATGGGATTCACCGTACTCGTTCGAACTACGACAATCGAGAATCACAAGATTCTTGGGGTCTTTCCTCAGTTCGGCTAACAACCATTCCTTCGAAACGCACTCGTAATCGCAGTCGGCGGTCGTGGGCATTTTAATAAATTAAGTCAATGTTTACGTACGACGAACGGACTAATAAACAACACTGACAGCTTTTGCATCACAAAACAAACGACAACCACCACACATGTCGGTCGCGTTCAGTCAAAAACAAAACAATATCACAGGTGCATTTGCATCTTTCACACCTCACCAACCAAGTCGACACGACGTCGCACGCAGATCGCTGACCACACTCGCTCTGAATGATTTCGATTCGGCATTGCCCATTTTCTGTTTCAGGTTATTGTGCGAGGGTGTACGAAGCGACTCGGCCGAAACGAAGGCGCCATTGGCCGTTGATCACGTGAATCACTCGAAATCGACCAATGCGCTCCGGGTACGTCACTTCATTGATGAGTAGGCCAAAAAGACGATTTAAGTAAAGAAATACAGTTTCTGTAATTTTCTGCGACGATAGCGTAATTTCCTCGATTGAACGCACTGCGATACTCTTAGCAAACAGCAGCAACGAACCACGAATGAAAAAAGAAATGATAAAAACTTATGCGGGTGGGTGTCATAAGGGAAGCATTCGCCATTCTCTCTTTATATGAGATGTGACGTCACAGGCTCACAGGTTCTCGTCGTTAATTCAACTACATATAAATGGGGTTTTAAATGCTTATTCTTCATTAAAGACACAAATTCATTGAATTATTAAAAATTTCTACCCTCCTCAAGTTATTCTTTAAATTTAAACGATCAGTTTCTTATATAGGTGCATAACTTGGTGTCGTAAGTACCTAAAAATGGGAAATTTGGGAAATTTTTAAAAGTAGAATTTTGAATAAAACGATAATAAATAAAGGAATAATTTGTTTGATTTACGATAAAAAGATACCAAAATTCTCAGTATCATCGAAATTTGAAGAGGTACCTATTAAGGAACCTTTATCCGAATGTTTTTTTGTATATAATATACTTACTTACTTTGTTCCAAAAAATGACATCATTTGTTAGATAATAAAACATTTAATTTCTTTGTAATATTTTTTGTAAATCTTTATTTAATATTCTTTAAGTTGCTAACTTTTTTTTACATTCTAACTCCTTTTTCTTTCATTTTTCTACTTTTATAGATTCCTCCAAAAATTTGTCATTTTTCTTCTAATAATGGTGCTGTTCGATTGAATTTTTTTGTGTAACGATTGATAATGGCACTTTAGCTTGTCAGATAAACGTTCTTCATATTTACTAAATTCTTCACCTGTGGACAAACTGAAAAAGAATTGTTTGTAATTTTTCTATTTTTGTGTTGCCATCGACGTATTAATTTTGTCGTGTAGGGTAAATTCATTAAAAAGTCTATTGCAGGTGTATATTTTTATTTTACGATATAATAATGGTTTAATATTTTTCTTATTGGTATAATTTACAGTTCGCTATATAAACAAATATATTTTACTAGTTAATGGACATGTATAGTATTTATTTTGTTCTTCAATACTCGCAACAATCACATTTATCCTCACACAGTTTTCCGTAATTATACTGAATTTTACGATACAACGAATCACAGAATCTATTCAAAGAATCCGTGAATTTTTTCCTCTCATCAAAATATTTTCTTATGCTTTTATTATCAAGGGAATCGCTGAAATTAAAAACAATTTAGTTGTTTTAAAGTGTAACATGTGCGTCCGTTTCTCTTTTTATTTTTTAATAAATAGATGAATGATGAAATAAACGAAAAAATAAAAACTGCAACGAAAATAAACAAATGACAAAACAAACAAGTGCACGTTGCAACCAATAGAATTTACAATAAGCAAAACAAATTATAATTAACTTATGTATACATTCAAACGCTTTTTCAAAAGTTTCACAATTAGCAGGTTGGCGTTTAGAATTTCAATTAGAATTTGGCGCATAAATTTTAATAAGTATACACCTTTCTGTTGTCCTTGCAGCATTCGCTCATTGCTCGTTAAGATAGGTCATTTGGTCACACAAGTCAAACACAAATATATTAAAAAAATATAGGTACGATAAAAAAAAGAAAATTTAAAACATTTTTCAAAATTTAAACGATTAAAGTTAGAGAAATGATATCAGTCTCACCTGCTGGCGTTATCGTTATCACAATCGTCACTATCGTTGACATAGTACGTAATTGGACAATTATTGGCAACGGCACAGTTGGATCTTGAAGTTCCATCCTGGGTCATATCCGTCAAGGTTTTAATCCTATCTTTAAATTTATTTGAGCTACAGGGTGTTCCGTAATATGGACACCAAACTGTATCCCTATCGGCTTTTAAACATGGGGATTTTGATCTTGATTCGATTTGTTTTTGAAAAGGATGCGTTCGAGAACCCTAGAAAACAAAAAAGGTAAAATAGACATTATGAAAAAAAATAAAAGAAAAAGGGACTTGGATCGTATTAAATAAAAAGAGTGAAGTACCACAGTGTTGCAGGTATCGCTAAGACAACCTCTAGCCGCCTTTTTGCTATCGAATTTGCAAAGAGATTTGCAACAGTTTAGTTGTTCCATTCTATTTGGTATATCAGTGGGGTTTTTATTACAGAAAAACTTTCCGTTTTTTAAATTGAAGGGATTTTCTGTATCATTGTTGGTCACATTCTGTACGCAAAATGAGGAAAAGCGCGGTTCTGAACTAGTAGATTTTTTTCCGAAACAAACATCCAAACCTATTGGAAAAAGCAAAAGAAAAAAGAATGTCGTGTGCAATTTTATGTTATTTTCTGGGTTCCGTACAAAAAGAAAAAGGTGCCGCTACAGTGAAATAATTCAACCATTTGTATTTCCACTCCTTATTTTCGAAATTTCTAGTGGAAAAATTAAATTATTTCACTCACATTTCTACAAAAGACAGTCGATAGTGTGAACGCTGCATTACGAACAATTTACACGAGTTCGGACGTGTTCGATGCAGTTTATTTTATTAATATAACAGTGGTTTTTTGATGTGGGCAACACTATCGACTGTCTACAGTAGTTTCGAAGATAAAAAAAGACAAATAAAATAAAAGTAGTACGAGCCTAGACGCTGTTGTTCGGCACTTTTTTGTTTTTTATTTGAGTAGATACCTAGTGATTGCGATTGCATCTCGTTGTCAGCAGTAAGGTTAATTTTGGGAGAAAACCAGGAAGATGACGTGTTATTATTATCTTTAGGACATAATTCTTTCTGAGGACAATATTTTGATATCAAAGCATTACACTCGTCGTCATCATCAATGTCCAAATTTAGCGGGGAATCGCAACACATGCTTTGGCAACTTTTTGAGCGTGGCAAATTACACTCCATGTTTTCTATCATGGAGCCGTGGGGAGAAATTCGATCGCAAAACGTTTCTATAATTAATTTTTTTTTGAGAAAGATATTACGCTTTAAAATAAGTGAAACATTACGTTTTGTGCAACAGGGAGGGATTTTGTAACATTCCGCAGAAGGTTCCCTTTTATTTTTCGCCTTGCATGATTTTATACTGGGTATTACTTTTTTGAAATCTGTAAGACAAGGGTTTGATAAAAAAATTATAAATTAAGAAAAGGTACGTGTTTAGTAACATCAAACAGGGGGTTTATTTTTCACAACCTTTTTTACATTTCGGGCTGTACTTTCCAACAAAGTTTTTCCTCTCCCAAATACTCTTGGACGAAAGCTTTTTTCTCATATTTTTGGGACACACGCATCTTCGCGGTTTACAACAAAATTCTATAAAAAAAAAACAACAGAGAAATGTAACAAAGGCAAGTCGTACTGATAATAAACCACAATCAGCAATTGTTTTATTCAACTGTTTATTTCTAATTTTTACGTACTCACGCGTTGACATGCGTTTTCCAAATTCGTTACTTGCCACCGATCTCGTTTTCATTTGATTCGAAAAAAAATTCCTTTGGGTACATGGCCTCGCACACATTAATTGGTCAATATCCTGCTCTATTTCACTTTTTAACTTAGAAAGGACGTCCTCCCTGGATCTATTCTCGGTTGTGATCTTACCTCTAAGTTCATCCTACTTTTTGGAAATACCGTGACGAATAAACAGATGAGTAAAAACATTTAAAATATTTCTGTTTCGCCGAGAATACGAAAATATAATTCGTATCATCATATAAGATGACAAAATACGATCTCGGAGTAGTAGAAATGATGTTAAACAAAATCTAAGAATAGTTGGTGCTGGATCTATTACGGGTGTCATTTTTTATTTCAGTTACGAAAAATGATTTAGTGATACAGCAAATTATCATACCACTGACTCAGTTGCAGGACACGGAGACGCTAAATTGTCGAAATGTCTTTTGTAACTTTCGCATATTCGGCAGCTTGGCTCCTCATGTCCATCAGCACATCCGCATTGAGCTGTAAAGAACAAATGGAGATAAAAAAATTGATAAATTTAAACGTGGTTATTCTTTTTTCCTTCTACACTGATAAAAAAAATGAAAATCGAGCATGCCTTTTTGTTTATTTTGTTCTGCTTCGGTTTAGAAAGATAAAAAACAATGAACTTTGTGCGTGTTCTTTACATGTATCTTTTTCTTTTGTTAAGAAATCATATTTTGTTTTGGGATATTAGAAAAAAAATGAAACTCAAGCGTGTTTATTCATTCATTTTTTTTTTTTTAGTAGAGCTTACTTCGGTTTGGAATACTTGATAAACACTTAAGGAATTCCTCATCGGCGCAGGACCTCCTAATGGGTGTTTTTAATTTTGTTTGTGGGAATCTTTTCAGTGGTTTTTTTCTAGCCTTTTTCTTGCCATCACTAAAAATTAACTTACGATTAATAACAATATGCTAATTGCCTGGAATAATTGAAATTCGAAAAACACGAGACGAATGTGAAAAGTAAATGGTTACCATGAACAACTGGGACCTATACCCTGGGGTTTTCGTAATATTAAGCTATCATCGGGCTTACAAGTTGAGAAAAATTGTGGTTGATTTTGTCTTGATTTTTCTTTGCCACATAGTACTTTTTGCCTAAAAAATTTGATACCACAATAGACAATTTTACCTATATTATGTATTCTGAATCTCACCTGTGATATGGGACACTGTGACAAACTTTTTTTTGTTGTCTCGGACATGCGTCCCTACATTGCTGGGATGAAATGGTTTTAGGATTAACAACGTACGAGTTTGGTTTACATTTATCCATAGTACAAACTTCGTCAATAGTTGTTTTTGTACAAATTTCTATTTTTGGTGAAATGATTCCCTAAAATAATTATACGAATTTTGGGATATTTTCGTACAAATATGATAAGAGATATACAGGGTGGCCCAAAAAGTATGCACTATGCCCAGCACTACATAGTGTTCGAAAATAGAAAAAATAAAGTTTCTGTTAAATGGCAGTCATGTGAAATATGACTCCAACTGTTATAGGAAAAAAAATATGGGGCTTTACAAAAAATCGCGCCGATATTCAAATGTTTTTTTCGAGTCAAATGACCTAAAAAGTTCGTAATATATTTATTTCGGCTAAACTGAATGATTATTCAAAAAATTTTGACCAAACTTATTCCCTATTTTAATACAAAATCGCGTATGTTATCCAAATCTGATTTATTATCAGAGTGTTCAAAAATAGGGAAAAAAACGTTTCATTTAAATGGCAGCCATGTGAAATAGGGCTCCAATTGAAAAAAGTTATAGGAAAAAGTTGTTCAGAATTCCAAAATGTAAGTCTATGTAATTTTTTGCGATATTTCCACATGGGTGCCATTTAAACGAAACCTTCTTTTTCCTGTTTTTGAACACTCCGTATAATAAATCAAATTTAGATAATACAGACGATCTCGTATTAAAATAAGGAGAAAGTTTTGTTTGAAAAATGTTTCGAATAAACTTACAATGAATATATTGCGTACTTTTTGGGCCCCCTGTTTACTTTAATGAAATGAATAAATATTTACCGGATAATTTCGTGTTGGTTCCATCAATAAATCAACATCGCAAGACGACGGGAAAAGCAAATCTGTTAAAGACGTTTCAAAAGTGGACAAAACGTTTCCCATCTCGCAATCTTGCCATTGTATCAGCTCAGCATATAAATGTTCCCTATCTTGTATAAATTATTGCGATTAATAAGATAAGAAAAATAACGTTTAAAATTATTTTCTTGTTTAGAAAAACTGACTTACTAAAGGTTCTTTGAAGATCAACAAGTTTGTTGATGCTTGCGAAGGTTTTGTAAAATACGAAACGTTCGTCGATGAACAGGGGAAAAACCGGTGCGAGGGGTGCCGTTTGAATACATGAATCCAACATGTACACCTGCAAAGAGACTTTCCCGTTTGGACAGAGCCAAACACCGGGACATGTTACCTTCAAAGGTTCATGTTAAAACTTTTAATTAAATAACGAATGTAATATTCAAAAAGACTTACAGATTGTATCTCTAATTCGACTTGAATGCGGAACGATTTTCTTGCCATTATTTTTGCCAATTAAATTACATGGACATCACTCATATATCATTAATACTATCGCTCTTGTATAAAAATAAAATAAAGTTATAATTCCACGTTGGTATATTTGTAATAAATCGTTAAACTAACTTGAAATTTGTGCGTGATTTTTAAGAAATGTTTTTGTCATCTTTTCGACATTGTGATTTCTTGTCAATACTGTCACCGTGTCAGTGAAACTTTTGTATCAGAAAATATCTCCTTTGCATGATATTTATATTTGTACCCCTCGGTACCAGGGTGATATTGATCCTTGCATGTTGATTGATGGATGTAACGTAACGTTGTTTGTGAAAGCTCGAAGTAAAACAAAACGTATTTTACTTTAATTTTCACTTAAAGTCTATCAAAACTTTCGTTTAATTTACACAGACATTCAATTTCCACCTTCAAGAATCCAATTATTTTAATTGATATTCTCTTTTTGTGTGCCATGGGGGAAAATAAAGAAAAATTTGTAGGCAGAACTTTACAAACATGGATCGAATCAATCCGTAGACTGTTAAAAAAACTTTTGTTTTTTCATTCGAGTTTTTTTAAAAAACGATTTCAATTTTATTTGGAACTAATTTTTATCTTTTTTTATCGTGATCTCGCTTGAGTTTTGTTTTAAGGGACGACACCCTTCATAAACCCTCATTAAATCTTCCCCTTTATACTCCCATATATTCACTTGATACTATAATAAACACAATAAAATCATCAAGTTCTTTTTTTAGTTTCGTTTTGTATGTGGTGTTATTAGGAGTACGATGAAAATACCATGGATAGAAAAAAAAAATAGAGACGAGGAGGTATTTATTTAAAAAGTACGAGGCCAAAGGGCGCTATGGACATATAGAAGTCAATATAGAAGAGGAGAGATATGGATGGTAGGATATGTCGCATAATAAAAAATCTACTATTTTATTTTCGCTAGTTAATCTTTAATAACACTACTATTATTAATTATAACTCATTTACTATTATATCGCCCCTTAAATCGCTTCTTCCCTCTTCTTGATCTAGATTCTATTCTTCGTTACTAGCACAATTTAGACAATCAACTATAGGCCTCCTGACGCATCTATACGTACGGTGGGTTGCCTACACGTAAAGAACTAGTAACACGAATGTTAAATGAACTAACAGGAGCACAGAGGGGCAGAGGAAGAACTAGATTCTAGATCTATATCACCGTTCACAAATGGTTAGCAATGTTCTGATTTTAGAGAAATGTGAAGATTGGTTTGGGATAGGCAGCAAGAGTGGATGTGTGTGTCGTAATCAATCGGTCTTATGATGACGATAGCTTTTCAGGGATGCACTAGAGCCTTTGTATTAGCACTGAACAGATTTTTAATTAGTATTAATGGTTTTATTGTACATGTATACGTAAAAGTATTTAAAAATTATGGGGACAACCTTTGGCAGTAGATATTTTTAATTTTTTATAATCCTATTTTTTACAAACATGGAAAAGATTTCCAATACATTTTTAAGACAATTTTTATCCCATTCTTGATTTTCTTTTAGCATTAGTATAAAAACCTTAGATCTTACATTCAATTTATATTGAAAAATAAACCATTTAATTTGAAGTTAAAAATAAATACTATGTATTGAAGATTGTAATTACTAATTAGATACATTTTAGTAAAAAAAGTCTTTTAATTTTAACTTATTTAAGTAATTAATTTTTGCATCACTAAACAGCTATAATTAACAGAAAATATACGAATAACAAATTGCATTAAAAAAATTAATTTTAGATTTCCTCAAATTCACTTTTTGCCTTTCTTCTTTTTCAGTATGTTCAACTCTGCTTGTTGAACGTTTCCTTCTGAGTAAATTCTTTTAATTTTTGCATATCGTTCCTTATCACTGCAAAAAAAGAAAAATGGGTTAATTAAAATTTCAATATTGAACCCAGATATATTAAAGCTTCCCACCTTCGTAATTGCTCATCTATTTTAACTTTAGCCAAGAACACTCTGTCCCTTCTTAATTCCCTAACGGCTCCTTTTCTTTCCTTTTTCAACTTACGTACCAACACGGTTTGTTCAGAGTCTCCTTTAGATGTCCCTCTAGTTCTTTTATGCTCATATCTAATAAAAGTAAACGATTATTTAAATAACTTATCATGTAAAGTAAAAATTGAAACTCTTACACTTTTTGAATATTTGGTTCATAAAGACGTAAAGCTTGTGGTTTTTTCTTTTCCTGTACTAAGAAATTAAGTTTCCTGTTGCCTTTTTTTTCTTCCAACATCTTTACAAACTCACTGCAACTTTTTTTCGTTTCTTTTGGATAAGTTTCCCATGGTAACAGTTGCAGCATTTTACAGAACGATTCTAACAGTTCAATTTCAGAGGGAAGTCCCTCAATATACTTTATTACATCTTTCAAAAGCTTTAATGTTGTATGTATAATTTTTAATTTAAATGAATCAGTCGACAAAGTATCTGTTAATAAATCAGATACACTTAAAAATTCAATAGGTTTTTTATTACTTTTACTGTTTTCAGTTACAACGAGATCTACAGTTGATGAAGATTCTTTTATAATGTCCCTTTTATCTTGTGGTATTGCCATATACAGCACACCAATTAAAAAACTAAATGCTGATGGTAAATATCCCTCAGATGATTTTCCATACTGAAATTATAAATAAAGTTAAATTTAATATCTTTTAAGACTTAAAAGCATTTTATTTTACCTGCAATACTGTGGATACCAAAAACAAACCATAAGAAATATTTTTAAGACTTTCAGTCTTACAATTTGTTAGCATTTGGTCAATAAAGGCCACACAAATTGAACCAATTGTACTGTTACTGTTGGAGAATAAGCAGCTGATTGTTTTTAAAAAGAACAAAATATTTAATCCAGGAAACACATCTGCATTTTCCTTGTAAGCATTATGTTTTTCCACTATTATTTTCTCTATTACCATATGTAAATCGGTCACTGAGGGAACTAATTCAAACAGACAATCAATTATGACTTTGTAAAGGTCAGTGAAGGTATTACTAAGACTCTTTTTTTCTTCAGCAGTGACTGCTATGGAGTCTATGTACTGTAACAAGTATACAAATAATGTAATTATTTGTCTTCTATCTTTTGGACAAGTTGCTACAATATTTTTAATTACTGATTCTAGATTTTCATGTGGGCTTTCTGACAGCATATTTTGAAAGCTGCTATATGTAGTTGGTAAACTGCTAACAGTCTTTTGGACAGGAACTTCAATAGATCTCTCTACTGGTCTTGATCTATCAAGCTGTAGTTCTTTCATTTTATTATCATATTCATCAATGTCATTAGATTGAATCTGTTTATAATTATTGCTAAAAAGCGACATCAAGGGTTGCAATTTGCTGTCCAATTCTTTAGTCAATTCGCTAGTTTGCTCTTTTGTTTTCTTTTGTTCCTCTTTCTTTCTTTTAGATTCGATTATCAATTGCTCTATTACGTCTTTATATGAGGACTCACCTCTTTTATTGGATTTATTTAACATACCACCACCAAAATGAGCACTCTCCACAAAGTCACGGTCCAAGCCTCCAATCTCTTCATCTTCAGAGCCTACATCTTCAAAATTTTCTATTTCATTTAACGTTCTCCCACCATGAGTTAAATGCTCATTAGACAGAGTGGCATTAAAATCAGTTTTATAACTTTTTGCCTTAAGGGCAGCATATCTACTTCCAGCAGAATCAAGACGTTTATCAGCAATGTAACTCTTTTTATTACGATGTTTATACTCTTCCAAAATAGTATTCTTTCGCCTTTGTAGTGCTTTACTTCTAGCAATAGCAGCAAATTTGTTTTTCATAGTTCCAGTTTCTAGATTGCTAGCTTGAGGGGCAAACTTGGAATTTCGTTTATTCTTGCTTCTCCCCATAGTGAAACCGTCTTTGAATTAAAAAAAAAGTCATTGAATTGAACACACAAGCTTTCCCTTTTTTTAAAAACACTTACATTGTAGGAAAACTAACAAAAAGTGAACATTATTCAATTATTCTTCTACCAAATTTAAGCGTCAAAAACACAGGTTATGTAAGGTTACGTTACTCCCACTGAAAACAGAAACACGTGCATTTGTTTTAATATTAATAATATGTTAATAATAGTGATTTCTATGGTATTGGTCAACGTAACCTAAAAATATTTATCAATATTTACGAAAGGTGCTGCTTTGGTTTCATTATTAAACAATTAATTCCTTAAAAATCATCAATAACACATTAATACTTAATAAACAAAAATGTCAGTGTGGAAGAAGGCTTCTAAAGTTAATCAGAAAGTGCATAGAGAACGACACCAACCTGAAGAACGTAAGCACTTAGGGCCCCTTGAAAAACATAAAGACTATGTTGAAAGAGCAAAAGACTATAATACGAAAAAGGAGACATTAAAAAAGTTACATAAAAGGGCCTTAAATAAGAATCCAGATGAATTCTACCATCACATGATAAATTCAAAAATTGTAAATGGAGTACACCATGAAAACCCTCCTGAAGATGAAGACAGTCCAGAACAATTAAAATTAATGCGTACACAGGACATTAAGTATGTAATAACTAAAAGAACAGAAGAGCAAAAGAAAATTGAAAAATTACAAGCACTACTTCATTTATCCAATGTTGACTGCAAGCCCAAAAATAAACATTTAATTTTTGTAAAAAATTTAGAAGATGATGATAGTTACAAAACCAACTGTGAATACTTGAAAAAGATTGAAATTCCTACTATTGACTCTGAAACATTCAATAAAGTTACAAAAAAACAAATAGCACTGTATCGAGAACTATCAAAGAGAATAGAAAGAGAAAAACAATTGGCCATTGTTCAGCAAAAAATTGAAATGAAAAGACATATGGAACATAAAACTGCTATTCCACCCAAGAAAGTGAAAAAAGGCAGTAAAGATTCTGCACCTGTGTATTTATGGAAGTATGAAAGAAAGAGATAAATATTTTGTATATTTATAAAACCTTATTGTAAACAAACTGTTAGAAACTTATGGTAATAAAAAATCAAAGAAACTTACATTGAATATATATTTAATCCTTATGTTAGATTCATTTTAACAGATTAAATTTCTTAAAATATTTTTGGATGTGTTCTTTTGGGTAAGGTTTAACTGCTATACATGTTGGGATGTTTTCTGGTTGTTCTATCCACAAATGATGTGCTATGCTATTTTCAGTCAGTTTTTCACTTAGGTCTCTTAAGTCTTTTTCACTTGAACACTCTAGTGTAATTTTATGCATACTTTCTAAATTAGCAAGATAACTTTGCAAGTGTTCGTCATCTTTAAATAAATGCATAGTTGCAGTTACTGCATGACATGCTTGTGCTATTAATGCCCCAATTGGCCAGCCTAGTTCTTTCACTAAGTCACTTCTCACAATTATATATTGGACTACTGTTGATGACATGTTCTAAACTAAAGTGAAAAAACAGTTAATATTTAATACCTAATTAATTATGAATATCTACTCTAAAAAGTTTAGAACTGAAAATATAAAACTTGCATTTTTCTCCATGAAAAGTAATAATTTTACTAGAACCAATAATTACCTTGTTAATGCTATGCTTTAACAAAAACTAATGAACGAATTTGTATAAATAAATAGTCTTTTTTAATAATAATTAGTTGCTAAATTGTGAGGTTAATTATGGTGACCTTGCACCTGACGTTTACTAAATCCCTATAACTTATTTCCATAAAAGGGTTATTACATAAAAATAATTTACGTACATAATGGAACATATTTTGGG